TCCATGGGCATGTCTTCTTCCATATGTACACCCTGAAATGGAGATTACAATCAGAAAAACTACAAAATTCATTTCTGTTGTCAGTCTCAATGTACTAATAAAACCAGTTTCTTTTGTTGTCCTTCATCAAGGTCTTTAGTATCAACTGCTGGGACTAAATATGGATTACTTTTAACCACAGTGATTCTGTTGCAGATGACTGCTGCTGTTTTTTGTCCTTTTGCATTTTCTTCTTTCATGATATAATATTTATTTTTTTGTTAAATAAAGTGTCTTTGCAATTATTTTCATAACATTTTGGTTAACTTAGTTAACTGACTCTACTTGACATTTGGCTAAAACTATTTGTTAAATAGATTTTTAGTTTGTGTCTCTGTGAGAAAAAAAAATGAGAAACTGTAATTGGTGGAGATATCGGAGAACAATGAATCTTGTAGAAATCATGGTGGGATACAGTTCGTGTTAGAGCTCAGAGCTAACTCAGTTGGGTTTAGAAGTTGGTAATAGAAGGGACACAGTAGTTCAAGAAATCAAGAGCTGAATTAATCCTGGTATAATGAAAAGGTATTAGAGGGCAAATTAGGTGGAAATGGTAGTAAAATAGAATAGAATAGAATTAAATTGAACTGGCAAGCCAAAGTCAAAGTACCTGGAACAAGACTTAAGAAAATGAATTTATCAGAAGCCAAGATGATGGACTAGAACTATGAGAATACATACCTCCAAATTCAATAGAAAGTTGAAGATGTCTTTGGAAGTATGACAAAATAGACACATAAATTTACATCCATGGGATTCCATTAAACACACATTTACTTCCAGGAAATCCACTAAAATTATAGAAAAGAATTATAAAAGATGTCAGCAACTAGCACAAGGTTTGGGGAAAAAGATGATAGCAATTTAGTGACATCTACAGAATTTTGGTAAATGGTAAGAAGAACAGGTGATAGCTGGATTAATAATGGATTGTGGAAATAATTGCAGAGCTGTAGAAATTTGTTAAAACTAATTGAATTGTACACTTAAATGGCTACTTATTATGGCATGTAAGTTACCCCTCAATAAAGCTGTTAAAACCATAAATTAATTATTGAAGCACCAGATGCACACAGAAAGTTGTACAAATGATGTGTCTAGGTACTGATTTTTCTCAAAATGAGCATGACTGTGTAGTTACCACCCAGATCAAAATAGAGAAATTATCAGCGCCATAGCTATTCCCCTTGTGCCCACTCCTAGACACTAACTTCTCTAACCCCAAGATAGTTACTGTCCTGATTTGTGACATCACGTCTTCCCAGTTTTTGATGTTTCCATAAATGGAATCGTGCACTACCGACTCTTTTGCAATTGGCTTCTCTTGCTCAGCATTAAGTTTGTGAGGCTCATCCATTTTTTCACTCGTTGAAGTAGCTGGTTCATTTTCATTTCTTTATCCATCCATACTATTGAGGGTTAGTTGAACTGTTAAGAATAGTGCTGCTGTGAATAATTTTACATGTAACTTGCATGCATTTCTGAAGAGTATGTACTTTAGATTGTTGAGCATTAGATGTACAGTTGTTCAGCCCTAAGAGATACTGCCAACCAGTTTTTTTAAAGTGTTTATCCTGGTTTAAATGCCCAGCATGTGTGAGTATGGGACTTCCAGTTGTCCTCTCATTCTTGTGGACGCTCATAAAATCATCTCTTTATTTTAGCTGTTCTAGGGATTTTAATTTATTTATTTCAGTTTAATTTGCATTTCCCTAAAGGCTAATGAGATTGAGCACCTTGTATGCTATAAGCCATTTGAATCTCCTTTTTTGAGAAATAGCTACTCCAGTTTGCAGCCACTGTTTCATTTGCGTTATCTGTCATTGATTTAGAGTAGCTTTTTAATTTTTAACTTTTTAAAATTTTATTTTTATTGAGGTAGTTAATTTACAATGTTAGTTTCAGGTGTATAACAAAGTGATTTAGTTATACACATACATACATATATATTTTCTTTTCAGATTCTTTCCCATTATATATTATTACAAGAAATTCGGTATAGTTCCCTGTGCTATTAGAGTGGCTTTTTATTTCTTTATTATGGAAAAGTACTGTAAATATCTTCTCCCACTTGGTTGGATGCTTTTCATTCTGATAATGCCATGTTTTCATGAACAGAAATTTTACATTTTTATACAATTAAATTTATAAATATGTCTATTTGTGGTTACTGCTTTTATTTGACCCTGTTTGAGGAATCTACTACGCTAAGGTCATAACTTCTGTATGGTTCTGATGGCAGAGCCAATTTCTTTGTAACTCATGCATAGTTTTAGTTATTAGGGGCACCTGCCTGACCCGAGGATGTGTGGGGCAGTCCCCTCAGGCACTTCTTGCAAGCAGGCATTTATTTTGTCACTGGTTTCAAAAGGGAAGATCATGATATATTTTATTTATTGAGTTATTTATATGAATTTTTGTGCTAAAATTTTTACCATTGTGATCATCAGCAACTCTGGAAAGCAGGTGGTATACTGGTATTCATTTTACAAATGAGGAAACTAAGACTGACAAGTGGTGTTAGTTTCCAAGTGCAGAATTAATAAATGGTGGGTATCCAGTCTGTCGGATTCCAAAGCTAAATGCTCATTTATGTTCCATAAGTATAGCTCACCATTATATCACCAGCTCATGTTGGCATTTAATAAACTTTCTTCATCATTGTTGAAGAAATGGACTTTTTTTTTTATTCACTTTGCCAAGATGGAGGCACATTGGAAAATTTCTTTCTCTGTTGCAGATAAAGGAAGACCTAGATCGAAAAAAGTCACAGAAAGTGGAAGAGGGAAACGATATTCATACAAATTACCTCAAGAATACAACATAGAGACTGTAGTGGTTGCAGACCCAGCCGTGGTTTCCCATCATGGAGCAGATGCAGCCAGGAGATTCATTCTAACCATCTTAAATATGGTAGGCAAACTTTAAAGTGCGCTTGGAATTTTGTCAAGAAAACTCTAAGGAAGAAATGTGTGAGTATAGTGAAGTTCTTTAAAACTTAACTCATTACTATTCCTTTCTTTTATTGACATGACATCCGTTAAAAAAATACATATACCAAATTGATCCATCTTAAAAGAGATATGAAAATGATAACTCACATCTTCTAGTAAAAAAAAAAAGCATTGTTAATTTTGATGTGGCAAAACTATTTCTCTATTATTCTTTTTTCTCTTTTTTGTGCCCTTCTTTTCATTCTTTTTTATAAAAGGCCATTTGTTGAAATAGCAGAAATGTTATCTTTGTCTATACGCACGGCCTCACTGAAGTTCTGTAGATTATGAGTTGAAACAAAAATGGAGGTTGGTAATTCACCGAGCTCTTTTACAGATAGGTAAAATTGAATGGCAGAGATAATACTAGTTGAGTAGTAAGACCTAATAGCTAATAGCTGAATTTTTAATGAGCTTAATCACATGTAGCTCACTTTGGCTGATAGCTTCTGGACAGCAGAAATCTAGGTTGTACCAGGATACCACCTGAGTCTGAACTGCACACCCCATTGGGTAGACTTCCTTCGAGGCAGAATTAGAAGGTTATAGTGAAGACTGGTTCTTAGGGGAGAAGAAGCGTAAAGAAAAACCACAGGCAAGTGTCCATGTGTAATTCCAGTTACCATGTAAGGCAAGGTAAGAACCAAACCGCCAATTCAGAGATAACTGTGTTTTGTAACTTCCCCATTCTTACTTTTTTTGGCTTATCATTTGGCTTACTCTTATCAGTGAACAGATTTTTTTCACGCCGCCATCCTTCTGTCTGTGTTCAGCTCTGTCCTGGACACTCTGCCAGCTTTCTGTTTAGGGTAGACTAGCATAGCTTAGCAACTCCAGTCTCTGATGTGGGTTTGGTGTGCCAGTGTTACACTTTCTGTTGTAAAGTAAATAAACACTAAAATTTACCCCCCCCCAAATCAAGGTACCACATAAAAAATGTGCCTTACTTTTCAACATTGCTACACATACCATGTTTGGGGAAAGCCAGTTATAATTATGATTTGAAAACTCTAAGCATCAACAGCCTTGTCTTCATGGGCGCCATGGGAGGGAGGAGCTTTGAAAACCCGTTCCTATTTGGCAGCTAGCCTGGGGAGAGAAAATAAACTCTAAGGGGTGAACTGGGAAGTGGCATAGAGCAGGCTGAGCTTTCAGGGCTGTTTCTCAGAAGAAAGGAGGATGCTGGCATTTTGTGGCCTTAAGAAAATTAATAAAAATTCTTCTCTTTAGTATTATGAAAATCCCAACCTTCCTTCTGCACCCCATTGAAATGCCTGGGCTTTCAAGGTTGCAGTAAGTGTATCAGAATGCTAGGTCTAAATTTCTTGGTGTCTATAATGCATTAGTTACTATTGCTTATTAAGCTAATTTTTAAATAACTTAAATTTTAAAAAATATAAAATTTCTCAACTAAATTGAGATTTTTTTTCCCTGATGTCTGGGCTTTAAGAAAAATTAAGATGTTTTTCAGTTTTCTTTTAGGATTCTTCTTTTTATTTGTTTTCAGGTTTTTAACCTTTTCCAACACAAGAGTCTTGGTGTGCAGGTCAATCTCCGTGTGATAAAGCTTGTTCTGCTCCATGAAACTCCAGTAAGAAAGTTTTGAGTTTTTTGTTCAATTAAGGAAGTGAGTGAGAAGTTGTGTTCAGGTACTTTGAAGTAAAGGGAATGTTAGGGATTTACTTCTTATTGACTTACAATTCAGAAATATCCACTGAGTCACTTTAAGTATCATGAATCTAGCCTTGAGTTTTAGTTAATACCTCAACTATATTCCAAAAATAGGATGTTCTTAGTTTCCCAGGATCCTGGAAACAAACCTTAACTTTACAAAATGTGACTTTTAAAAGTCATTTTTAATGACAGTTTTATTTTCTCATTTAAATATGTGCTTTACAATTGGTTTGTTATCTGTAATTCAATTTAAGCAGATACTCCTCTGTGGCATCATTTTAGCCTGCTATGAACTGGCAGTTTGGAAAATCTTTGTTCTTAAATTGTAGATGTAGTGGATTAAGTCTAAAAGTTCCACATTCTTAATATTCCATTGCACCTCTCTCCTTCTCAAAATAGCATTAAACAGATTTTGTAATTATTGTATCTACGCAAAGTTTTAAGATTTTTTAGCTCAGGCAAAATTAATCCTGAATGTCGTCCAGGTTCTAATTAATGTTATGGTCAGCAGGCTGCTTCAGTAATTCAGGAAGTCTTCTCAGTTTTTAGCTTTTTGTCTGTCTGAGAATAATTTGCCTTGAAGTAAAATCTCTTCTTTTGCAGGCAGATCTCTACATTGGACACCATGGAGAGAAAATGCTAGAGAGTTTTTGTAAGTGGCAGCATGAAGAATTTGGCAAAAAGAATGATATACATTTAGAGATGTCAACAAGCTGGGGAGAGGACATGACTTCAGTGGACGCAGCTATACTTATAACAAGGTGAAATTTCCAAAGCCAGTTAAATGACATTCCTAATTCAATGGTGAGGCTGTTAATCCTATTAATCCCTTCACAGAATGCTTTTATTCCAGATTTGGTGTTCCAAAAATCTTTTGGCATAATGATGTTAGACATCTCCCTCAATTCATAACAACTGATTTCTAAACAGGCATATATTGGCTGGCATATTGACTAGACATTTGGTTAGGTAATTAAAAAAAATTTACTGTCAGTTTTGGATGTGAAGATGTAGCCATTGACAATAAGTGAAAACACTGGTGAATTTTGATGGACCCTTGAAATTGTGAACCTATGCTCCATGTTTTTCAGTCATCATACAAAGTACCCAAAATGTTAAATCAAGTGATTGACAGGCTCTCTGGTTCCATCTGAGAAAAAAGTTTCAATCACATCTCTAGCTAATGAACTTTGAGCTGCATTGTGAATGTCCGTACCACTCACAAATATTTGTAACAAAGCATCACATATAAATATAAGGAGGTGACATGGTGAGCAACAGTTTACTCTCTGTGAGCACTTTATAGTAGTAATTATTTATGAGTATATCTTGCTTAGAGCTAGTAAAAATTAATGGTAATTCATTGTTCGCCAGCCATTTTATTTTAGTATGAATAATGTTGACATTTCACATCACGGACTACACAGTGACATTGAAACAGAACTGTATGTAATGAGTCCTATTGCATTCACGATAGCTTCTTGTTGACTTGTACAAAAACTATTTTACTTATAAATAATTCATAAAGATGGAAAAGATCTCTATGCAGGAACACAATTGGACTTCCATTTCCAGCTACGTAGGTGCACCTGATACTGGAACTCTGCAAAAAACAACCATAAAACTTGAAAATAGTTATGAGGCAACTGCTTTCAGTCATAGGAGAATGAGCAGTGCAGTCTCTAAAACAAGGAATATATGTTAAGTGAGCCCCACAGCCAACCCAGCTTTTTGCCTGGGGACAATTTTTTTCACTGGTCCAGCAAGCTGGAATCTAGGTAGAGCACAAAGGTCCTATTCTGAGGGCACCAGGGAAGAGGACTCTATTCAGGGAGAGGTGCCAAGAAGTCTGTGTGCAGGTCATCTGTGAGAACTTTGCAAGGCTGGCTAAATATATACAGATAGAAACTAATCAAATTTCATCAGAGTGCTACTGCTATGGAATTTAGATGTTAAAAGTAGACTAGAAATTGAGCATATTCGGGCCACAACAGTAGAGCAACTTTGTTGATACCATGTCATTACTCCTGGCATTTAGCCAAGAAAAGAGAACGGCTGCGCCTTCACGATAGGCACCATGATCCAGAGAAATGCCTACACTTGACCTGTCCTAACCAAGCCTGAAACCAAGCCCTTGTACCGTTTTCAGAGAAGATAGAGTTTGGAGATTGAGTCCCACCAGTTTACAAAGACTTGGGAATCATCTTGAGCTTTTGATAGATCTTCCTTACCAAAGAATAAACTCGACACTACCTAAATTTAGAGTGACCAGCAGGTAACTGAACTGCTTCCTAAAATAAGAATCAGCACTCTTCAGAGGAAGATAACAGAATCTTGAATCTCTATAATATATTATCTACAATAACATGCTCAGAATATAGTGAAAATTAGCCAAGCAAAGAAAGATGACAGTGTGACCCATGGTCAAAGAAAAGTAATCAATAGAGACTGACCTGAGAGATGGCTTAGATGTGGATTTACCAATTAATGTGGTTGTATTTGGAATCTTGGGAAAGGATGGGAATGGGTAAGAAAATTATTTGAAGATGTAATGGCAAATTTCCCCTCCAAGTTTCATGAAAACCAACAACCTAGAGACCTAGGTATATTGTAGAAAAACTGGTGAAAATCAAAGATACAGGGGAAAAAAAGTTGAATTGGCCAGAAGAAAGAGATACATTACACAGAGGAAACAGTATTAAGATCAATACTCACTTCCCGTCAGAAAAAAAGCTCCAGATTTGGAAAAAATAGTTGCAATATGTATATCTAACAAAAATTTGTATCCAGAATGTATGTATGCATGTGTATATATATATATATGATATGTAAGTATTTAGAATTTTAAAACTCAGTAAGAAAAGATGATCAAAGTAGGATATGACCTATTTATCCAAAGACTAGCTGGTCATCTTGGGTTGACTAATTGACCTCTCTGAGTCTCATTATGAGATTAGTAGTACAGAGTGAAGACTACAAGGTATCTTGTATCACATCTAACATATAGTGAACAGTCAGTAATTTTTCCCAAACGTAAATAATTGTATAAGATCCTGTGCGAATATGTTAATGTGGAAGACATACTATCTGAAATATCTTTCGTTGTATTATTGTATAATAAGTGTTTTTCATTGATAGATTTGTCAGCCCATGGTTAAAATCCACTTTCCTCATCTATAGAATTATTACTCCATCCCATATAATGTTAGCCTCATTTAAGAATCATCCATTGTTGCTGAAGGTATTCTCTAGTGATTGAGACCATTTTATGGGGTTAGTTTAATACATTAAATATCATTAGTAGTAATTTTATTAGCAGGTTAAGGTTTAAATGAGAAAATAATATGTAAAATTCCTATAACATCTAGGAATTGTGAAATAAGTATTAGTTCCTTTTCCTTCTTTTAGCTCTTTATATCCAGCAAAAATTCATTTAATAATTTACACTTCCTACTTGTATAGAGTGAGCCTACCTTGCCTTGGGATTTTTAGTCTTAAGTGCACTAGAGAGTTCAGTAAAATACTGAAACATGCAATGTTTTGTTTGTTTGAAGTCTACCTTGTATACCAAGGCTATTCAGTTTTTAAGAAATAATTTATACTGGACTAACTTACCTCCCAAATTCTGTTGTTGTAAAAGGTTTGATATTTGCTACATAATGAAAATGGACAGGAATAAACATTTAACTTTTTCAAATAGTCAAATATATGAATATTTTAAAAAGAAATACTAGCCAGCAGAATATTTCCTTTTATTTCAGGTTAATAAAACTAGCATCTGGTTTTGTTTTCTCATAGTTACGTAGGTTGATGGATAGAAAAATGATGAGAGAATTAAGTAAGTGACAATGATTAAGACCTAGAAACAGGAACAGCAAAATTAAATGCAAGAAAATGTTATGAAGTATTTCAAATAAAAAGGAAGGTTGACACATGAATGGAAAATAACAAAGCTTATAAGAATCAGAGATGTCTGGTATAATAGAAAGTATATCGGACAATGGGGATGAGCAAGCATTTAATCCCGGCTGGCTCCGTTATGAACTGTGTGGCTTGGCAGTGGTTCAGCCTCACTGACCATTCATTTTTTGTCTGTAAAATGGGCATGATAATACCTGTCTCACAGGATATCAGATTCAGTAGAGATGATATACTTAAATAACCTAACAGAGTGCTTGACCTTATCATGAATGTTCCGTTACAATAGCCACAATGTTGTCACTTTTGATTCTAATATTAAAGAATAGGGAGCAGGGTGTACAAATGAAGGCAGTATGAGCAAATATGTTTCTGTCATTCTAAACTACACATGAAGACTTTGTGTCCAGTTTGTATATCTGCACCAAATTTCCTTTAATCTTATGCCCATTTATGGAGTAAAGAACATGTTGAATTCATAAGACTCACTACTGGAATTCACAGCCAATTCCAGTGAGTGGTGACCCCGAATATTTTAAGAATATAATTGTCTGATACTTTGATTGATTAGTTGGAGGAATCCTACATATTATCAGTTTCTCCATAGAGAGTTTATATATTGTGTTTATGACAAAAGAGCCACAAGACATAGTCTTAAGTATAAAGAATAAGAGTAGCAGTTGCTCCTGCATAGCTTTCAACATATTTTCTGTGCTGCCTAACAAAGATTTTTTTTCCTATGAGTTTTTGAATTGGCTTTATGTGCAAAACACTAAAAATTGCTCGTTTACTTAAACTATATGTAACCTTAGGCTAACAAAAATTTGCCAAAATTATTTTCATATCTAACTATGTATAAGATAATTTTTGACTAGTTTTCAAAGGGAAAATAGATAGCTTTTAAAATTATATAAAAGGAGAAGGGTATAGCTCAAGTGGTAGAGTGCATGCTTAGCATGCATGAGGTCCTAGGTTCAATCCAGAGAACCTCCATAAAAAATAAATAAATAAGATACAACATTGTAAACTGACTATATCTCAATAAAATCAATAAATAAACAAACCCAATTACCTCCCTTGTCAAAAAAAGAAAGTATTTAATGATGTTAGTCTTTTCTAAAGGATTATAAGTAAAATACAGGTCTAAGCCTATTTCAGGTTATTTAGCAAGTAATTAAGATTTAATTCTTTTATCTCATCTTTTCTTCAGTCTGCTAAATTTTCACATTATTTTTACTTAAATGGTCAAAATGTATTTTAAAACATGCATCTTTTCTAGAATAGATTTTCTTTGAGAAAATGACAGGGTCAATTTCGAAAGATCATGTGATTAATGCAGAAGCCATTGAAAATCACTTTATTTGGGTGGTCCTCTAAGAAATCAGCTTATACTAAAGTTTATCTTGTTTGTAACTTTAAGCATGTTTTGTTTGAATAAGATTAACAAATCTTAAAGTCCCCTTGACTCTACCAAAAACTTTTTTTATGAATTGCTTTTTAAAAATAGAATAGCAAATATTGTTGTCAGTGAAAATGATTAGGAATTCCAGGGAACATGTAGATATCATTTTTAATTTTAATCTGAGTATCATAATTTTGTGTGACAGGTTTCTTTAATACATTTTTTATTATAGTACTAAATATTTCTGAAAAAAGAATCTGTATACCATATAGGATCTATAGTATTATTGGTGATCATGGGAGCTATTGTATATGCTTAATTCAAACTTCTAACCTATATTGAACACCACTCTGATATAGAGAAATTAGATTCCCAGCATGCATTAACCACAAAGGATATTCATATATTTATTTTTCAGGTGATAAAATCTGTCTTATTTAT